CTATACAACTATAGGAGTCTGCGACCAAGCAAAAAGCTACTCCATCTTGGTCTTTATATCTATCGGGTTTCATGTTGATAAATGTAGCCCAGCAACAAGTGATTCATATTTATTCAATTTATTATCCACTTTCACAAGCATTCATTTTACCATATTCTTTCTTGTGAAGGCGTCTTTCAGCCAAGTCAAAGAATTAAATCTGCCCCCTTGGCACTCGGTCTCGATTGGTGGTCAGACAAACTGCCTCAGCAGATCACGATTCAGCCCAGCCTTCTCTTCGGTTGGAAAAGAACCGCTAGGCTGCTCGAGCGCATCTCCTGACGCAAAAGCGGTGTCGTCACCAGCACCAAACACTTCTACATACTTCTCCTTTGACTACGGAGGCCTCACTAATTGGTCCGACCAATGTGTTGCCCTGCTGCAGGCTGAGTCTGAGAACGAGACTAAGAGAGCAGGCGCTCCGATCGGAGGAGGGGAGGGAGCCGGTAACAGGTCGGAGAACGAAAAGGGCTTAGGGCCGGAGGTAAACCTGCCCTTCGAATATTACAGACAGAGTGCTGAGCAAAGCAACTCCATGGGACCAGGACCGAACCGAAGTGGACAAGTACCGAACTGCCGAACGCAGATGGGAGAGGACGCGAAACCTAGCGCCTATGAACTGGGAGGAGTTGGAGACAAGCATCCAGTCAGAAGTGGCTACGAATGGGTCCAAGAAGTTTCAGGTAAGACCTACAAAATGCATGAGGCAAAAGGCCTGATAGAGACTAAACTTGACAGATTTTGCATGCACAAGGGTCAAAAGCAAATGTGGATGTACAACACTATTGAGTACTCATTGAAGTCAAAGTACGGATGCAGGCTTTATCTCCACCCCTTAGCTGAATGGAAATTTAGATTTACTTGGTGCAAATTCGCTTCGAGACCTGATTGCTAGTTTTGCGGATTTAATGCAAATTGCTCAATTGCATATGCAAAGAAAAGTTGGGTTTCGAGAGATCTCCTGTTTCATGCTTGTTGAGCTTACTTCCATTTCGAGTGAAAGTGTTTGGTGAAGAAGACAATGGTGAATCCCTCTTGACCTTCTGTCGATTTGGCTTTATTGAAGATTACATCGGCAACAGCGTCAACAAGAAAGTTCCAATAAATCAAAGCAACAGCTGGTCAAGAGAAATCCGTCGTCGTCTTCAGCTTAATTGAAGACCCAATTTGTTCATTTACGTTCTTACTTTCAAATAATTTCTTGGAA